ATTATTAGTATATCTACTTAATATACTAATTGATGCACACAAATCCGGTCTTGTACACAACATTACATACATCAAGCAGCCTATTAAATTTCGACACGGTGCATCATAACTTTCTTTTGAGCTTAAGGCCGCAAAATTTATTTTACTTGGTAGTGGGGTGCTTACTGGATTACATTCTTCCATGTTAAATGTCTTTAAAATATTTTTAATATAAGGCGTCTGGCTGAGCTCGAACTTGTTTGATTTTCTTTCTATTTTTATTCCTATAAAATAACGAATTTCAAGTAAGTCAGTCATTCTAAATTTTGTCATGAGATATGATTTTAGTTTAGTCATGGTGTCAATGTTTTCAGTAGCTATTACTAAATCATCAACATATAAGAGCAGGTATATATTTTTAGAGATACATCCTTTATCTAATATATAGATACAACGATCCACAGCGGAGTTTTCAAAACCAATTTCTTTTAAAACATTCTCAAATACCTCAAACCAGCATCTTGCAGCTTGTTTAAGGCCATATAAAGCTTTGTTCAATTTACAGACTTTATCATTTTCGAAAGGTAGTCCTTGAGGAATTTTCATATATATATCTTCTTTAAGCAGGCCATTCAAGAATGCTGTTTTCACATCCATATGGTGAACCTTTAAGTCAAATTGGTTTGAAAGTGATAGAATAAATCTAAAACTGGAAATTCTCGCTACAGGTGCGAATGTTTCATCGTAATCAATCAAATGCTGTTGTGTGAAGCCTCTTGCTACTAGTCTTGCTTTGTATCTAATATTCTCACCAAGTTCGTTATGTTTAATGGTAAAAACCCATTTACAGTCTACAATGTTTTTATCCTTTGGCTTTTCAACAATACTCCATGTGTTATTATAAGTATGAGAATCTAACTCTTCACGAATTGCTTTTTCCCACTCCACTCTATCACTTCTGTTATTTATATCTTCAAAGGAGTTTGGAGTATCATTCGCAAAAGCATGTGCATTCATTAAACAAATATTGAGAAATCTATAAGATGTTTGTGGTTTACCTTTCAATCTCTCACTTCGCCTTATTTCAGTTTCTTTTTCTTTCTGGGGTGAATCAGGCAATTGGTGCTCAACACTTATAGCCTCTTCTTCTAGAGATGTTTCACAACTAGGCTGTATATCTAAAATTTGCATTTTAGATTTTTCCTCCGTACTTTCATTCCGGAAATTTTCTTCTGCACTTTCCTTACTTTTATTTAGGATACATTGTTGATCACTTTCCATGTGTTTACTCACATCTATACCATCCTCCATTTCTTTGAGGATATCAAGCTGATCACTTTCAGTGCACTCTTCCACAAAATTAAAATTTTGTTCCACAGTCCTAGAATTTTTCATATTTGTCTCATCGACAATTACATCTCTTGCCACAATAAATTTTCTAGACTCAACATCCCAAATTTTTAACCCATTCTGTTCATACCCAACGTGTATACCCTTTTTTGATTTTTCATCAAACTTTCGTTTTCGGATTTTGTTGTGTATGTATACCGTTGCACCAAATACCTTCAGGTATTTTAGACATGGCTTTCTTTCATGCCATAATTCATAGGGAGTCTTTGTTATGTCTTTCAATGCTTTGCTTGAGCTTCTGTTAATTAAATAAGTTGCTGTTAAGACAGCTTCACCCCAGAAACTTTTACTTAAATTTGCGCCATGTATCATGGATCTAGCCTTTTCTGTTAAAGTCCTTATCATACGTTCAGATACCCCGTTCAATTGGGGTGTATGTGGCACTGTAAGATGATAAGTAATTCCTCTCTCCACACAGTATTCTCTCATTTCGTTTGACAAATATTCCCGCCCATTGTCTATATACAAATTGACAACCTTCAAATTGAAATGGGCTTCACTTTTCGAAATGAAGTCTTTGAAAACGGAAAATACTTCGGATTTATATTTTATTAAATAGGTAACACAATAGTGTGTAAACTGATCGACAAAAACAACGAAATAATTTTACCCATCGATAGTAGGAGGGCTAATAGGGCCACAAACATCAGAATGCACAATATATAATGGTCTTTTAATGTAACTTTTATCTTTGAATTTTTCAAATGGCAATCTTGATTGTTTGCCTTTAACACATGCTTCACATATATCTTCATTTGGATGGACATTCTTTAACACTTCAGTATCTTCAAACATATTATATCGTATGAGTTCTAAAAATTTTCCCTTGCTAACGTGTCCTAACCTCTCATGCCACAACTGATACTGTTTAAAATGATTATTGTTTAATGTATGTGCTTTATAACATATTTTAAATTCCATAGTTGGCACATTGTACTTACAGGAGTTTTTAATAATTATGTTACCGTTCTTTGTAACCGTGACACCTCCTGCGTTGAATTCAATAACCATTCCAGCCTCTTGCATTCTTTTAACAGAGATTAAATTATGTGGAATATCTTTGCAATAAAGTACGTCTTCCAAAGTAATGTTTTTCTGGAACTCATTTTTAAGTTTCATTATGCCTTTTGCCGTAGCATAAATAAATTCACCACACTTTGCCACTGATATTTCAATTGGTGTTTTTAAACTTATGTAGTCAGCAAACAGTTCTTTATCATTTATCATATGGTCTGACGCGCCCGAGTCCAAAATAAATGAAACATCACTTTTGTTTTTAATTATAGCACGATTCAACATAAATGCAAAACCTTTTTCAACTGTGGCCACTTGAGCCTGTTTTCCACTTTCGTTTTCTTTATTGTTTTTATTTAGCCTTTTAAAATGGTAACAATCCTTTTTAAAGTGTCCTTTTTTACCGCAATGATGGCATGTATATTTTGATTTAAAATTATTTTTGTTTGGTTTGAATTTTGATTTATTTTTGAAATTATTAAATTTTGTTTGTTCCTTTTTATTATAATTTCCCACAGCTTGCAATGATTTAAGACTTGTGTCTTTACTTATACCTTTAAGTTTTATTTCCTGATCTAGCAAACGTGTCTTTACAAATGCCAAAGTTATTTTTGCTTCTGATAGAGTCTCTATAGCTGTTATCACCCCATCGTAGGCGGCTGGCATTGTCAATAGAAGATGTGACACTTTGTCCATCTCATCCATCTCTGCCCCTGATGCTACTAACTCACTAATTAACTCGTCAAAAGTAACAAAATGATTTGCAAGTGTGACCTCTCCTTTTAATTTTAATGACAGTAATTGCTTTCTGATAGAAAGCTGAGATGCCAGACTCTTTCGCTCATAAGTGGCGTCCAGATTGGTAAAAATCGTTTTTGCTGAGCTTTCATCATTTGCGAACCCAAGAAATGAATCACTTAGGAACTCAATGATTATACTTTTAGCAGTATTTTCTGCTTTCATCCACTCATCAGTCATTTTTTCAGGAGGATCTTTATCAATTATTTTTAAAGAATCGTTTTCGGATAAAAGAGCCCTTACTCTGAATTTCCAAACGGAATACCTATCGCCGTCAAACGGCTTTATATTTCTCTTTGACTTTTCCATTTTCCAGAATTGACAAAATTAAAAGGAATTAGAAACCTCTGAACTTAGTTCGAAAAAAAAATTTTTCTTGTGAAAAGTTACCCTCAAATTTATCTTTAAAAAAATGTCTTTCCAAAATTCTTAAGAAAAATTTCGCATCAGATTGGTCCCGTATTTCTGGTTAAACGCTGCTGTCTGTTTCTCAGAATCCTTTACATAAAGCCTATTTCACAATATGTCTTAATAGTTGAAGTCACTAGTACATACATATGTACATACATTTCATAATTTGAATTTTAATTATTAATACTTCATCAAAATCAAATTGAAATTATTTCACTATTAACTTTGTTTGATTTTTCTTATATTTCGCTTTTCAATATTTTATTTAATACTTTGTTTTAAGCACTTTACTTAGTCACACAATAAGGTTTAAATTTTCACTCTTTTTTTTTTTTTAGGTTTATGAATTTGTTTAAACAATTTGTTTTAACCAATTTAAATTGCAGAGGGAGCTGGTCCCCATAACCTGTTGGCAAAAACCACCCTCCTTATTAACAACACATATGCACTTATAGTTTATAATTATATTTAATGAGTCTGTTCTTTCATTTGGCACAGCACATCTACTATTCACAAAGGTTGTTTTACGCGAACTGAACTAAATACATTTCAATGTGTCCCTTTTATAGTTGATCTTCGCAACACTTAATTCTAGGTATTTGAGGATCTCCGCAACATTTAATTCTAGGTATTTGAGGATCTCCGCAACATTTAATTCTAAGTATTTGATGTTGCTTTTGTCTTGCAGCCAAACAATGTTGCAGACTTATGTTGGTTGCATTTAATAGTAAATTATATATGAAAATGTATAATCTCTATTATAAATATGTTTGTGGTCCTGAAAAGGACCGATTTGTACAAAATGTATTGACGCTATTTGCTAGTCGAAGCAATCTCAACTTAAGCACGCTCGCCACGGATACGACGGGCCAGCTGGATGTCCTTGGGCATGATTGTGACTCGCTTGGCGTGGATGGCACACAAGTTGGTATCTTCAAAGAGACCAACCAGGTAGGCTTCGCTAGCTTCCTGCAGAGCCATCACGGCCGAGCTTTGGAAGCGCAGGTCAGTCTTGAAGTCCTGAGCGATTTCACGCACCAAGCGCCGGAAAGGCAGCTTGCGGATCAGCAGCTCGGTACTCTTCTGGTAGCGACGGATCTCACGCAGAGCCACAGTTCCGGGGCGATAGCGATGGGGCTTCTTCACACCACCGGTGGCTGGGGCACTCTTGCGAGCGGCCTTGGTTGCCAGTTGTTTGCGTGGCGCCTTGCCACCAGTCGATTTGCGAGCGGTCTGCTTGGTACGGGCCATTTTATATTCTTCTTATTTTCACTGTCTGTTCACTGTTTACTTCACGAGTCTGAAAACACAATAAACGAGCTGCGCATTGCCTACCCTCTTATATAGCAAAACGTGGAGGGTGGAAAAGAGAGAGCTAGTCGAAGCACATGCCATTTCGTTTGTCGAGCACAGAGCGAGAAGGCCATAGCGTTCGGGCTCGCTCGTGCAGAGCAGAGTTTAGGTATAAATAGGAGCGGCCGACGCGGCTTCTACATTAGTTCAGTGGTGGCTTTCGAAGTGTAAAAATAAAATAGTGAAAAATGACTGGTCGCGGTAAGGCAAAGGCTTGGTAAAAGGTGGCGCCAAGCGTCATCGCAAAGTGCTGCGTGATAACATCCAGGGTATCACAAAGCCAGCCATCTGTCGTCTGGCTCGGCGTGGCGGCGTGAAGCGCATTTCGGGACTCATTTACGAGGAAACCCGTGGTGTTCTGAAGGTGTTTTTGGAGAACGTGCTCCGTGATGCCGTCACCTATACTGAACACGCCAAGAGGAAGACCGTCACAGCCATGGACGTCGTCTACGCCCTGAAGAGACAAGGCCGCACCCTGTACGGTTTCGGCGGTTAACAAATCAGTACAGTCTGTACTTCTCAACAATCGGTCCTTTTCAGGACCACCACTTAATTTCATAAAAGAGAAAAATTATCAAGTTATATTTCGTATATATCTTAACATTGAATATTCTAGCCCAAGAATGGAAATATCTATTTGAATTGGTCGGGGTTTCCGTAGGAAGACAATCACATCTTTAGGTAGCGTAAACTGTCTTGCAATGACAATGTTCATTGTCCATGTCCTGGAATTTCTCTGACGACTGTACTATTGGTTTCTGCATAGCGATAACCAAAAATATAAATATTATATGTATATTTTATATATGCAGTGTCCCCTTTTAAGAAAGTTGTAACACCGACTTGAAATTATATAGTTTATTTCCATCAACTTTTAACTTGTAACTTAATTTTACAAAATATAGATTAGTGCTTATCCGAAACGTGTGTGATCAAAGCGAGATTCTGGCGGCGACTGCTGAACGAAGAGTTGCCAGAGCTTAACACTGCAATCGACTTTACTTTCTAGTATTTTAAAGAAGGGAGCCAGAAACTAGTAGGTGAGACCGCTCCTGGTGACTCTGGCCACTCCATCAACACTACCGGATCCCACATTCGGCCTTCCTGACGTTTGATTCGACCCGAATGGTTTCATGTACTCTGCAACTGTCTTGGTTCTATATGGCCCTTCTCCTTCTCCGACTCTTTCAACTTCATAACGCCAATGATTGTTAATCTTAACTACCTTATAGGGACCTAAGTACTTTCCTTTCAACTTTAAGCCTGTTCCATACTGGGTGCGTTTAATAGCTACTAAGTCATTTACTGCATACTGGCTTTCTACCTTTCTTTTAGAGTCAAAAGCCCTTTTGTTTTCTGTTTGAATATCCTGAATATTCTGTCTTGCTTTTACTCGCAACTTCTCTCTTTCATCATTCATTTCTGATATTAAACATTCCTGCATCAACTCCTTTAACACCAAATTACTGGAAACACGCATATCAAGTCCTGTTAGAATCTTAAACGGAGACACTTTCGTACTCCTGGGCTCAGTGTTATTAATCGTCTGTTGTACCTTGCCAACCTGCTTATACCAGCATCCTGGACTCTCCTCACTCAGTTTAGATAACATTGGAACCACTATCTTGTGCATGCGTTCTACCTGTCCATTACCTCTCCTGTCGCAATTAGCAAGTGCTGTATTTTCTCCCTTTCGCAATACTCCTTAAACAAGTGTGAAGTGAAAGCAGCTCCTCGATCCGATACAATCCTGTATGGGTTACCAAAAATGACTGACTGACGCTCCAAGCAACTCAAAACTTCTTCAACCCCAGTACTTCGTGTAGGGTATAACCATACGTACTTAGAAAAGGCATCCACTATTACGAGAATGTGATTATAGCGCTTTTTGGTCAACTCCATCGGGCCAACATGGTCTATATGGTACGTAACCAACGGCTTGTCACCTTTATCGATTGGTGTAAGGAACCCTTCTTGCCTACCAGCTTTGGCATTCACTAAAATACACTCAACGCAGCTCTCAACGATTCGTGCTATCTTCTCTTTAGCCTTCTGAATGTAGTACGACTTTTCGACCAACTCCTGAGTCTTTTTTTGAAGAAAAGTGACCTTGCTTGTGCGCATTTCGAATGATCTCGTTTTCCATAAGCGACGGCACTACTAGCAACTCCTTATTCTGATCCTTGAATAAAATTCCGTTGGATATATAAAAATCTTCATACCCTTTTGTCTCAACAACACTCTTCACTGCCCTAGTCCAATCATCCGTTTGCTGTGCTTCTCTTAAGCGATGTATTAAGCTATCCGTCACAACAAAACAATACACCCTGCTCAACGCATCCACAAGTCTCATCTTGCTACCTGACCTATGTTCGATTTCATATTCGAAATCTTGCAAGTACATTGCCCAACGCGAAACTCTAAGCGGAATCTCTTTCTTTTTCATAGTCATGGCAAAAGCATTGCAGTCTGTCACTATTTTGAATCTTTTGCCAAGAACGTAGACTCGCCACTTTATCAAAGCTCCGATAACTGCAAGAACTTCAAGTTCATACGAATGATACTTCTCTTCGCAAGGTTTGGTCTTCCGACTCATGTAGAAAATTGGGTGCCACAAACCATCTTCTCTGCCTTTCTGAAGTAACACGGCTCCAAATCCGAACTTAGAAGCGTCGGTATGAATTTCCGTTTCAAGTGTAGGGTCATACAGTCTCAGAACGGGCCCACTGATTAACGCAGCCTTTAATTTTCCAAAAGCTTCTACTTGCATCTCTTTGAACTCAAACTTTGCTTCCTTACGCAACAAGTCAGACAACGGCTTTGCAATACCTGCGTAGTTTTCAACGAACCTTCGAAAATACGACGTCAAGCCTAAAAATCGTTGGATTCCCTTTTTATCACGAGGAATAGGAAAATCAGCAACCGCTCTAGTTTTCTCCTCACCTGGTTTGATTGTACCATTTTCTACAATGTATCCAAGGAAATGTACTCTCTTCTTCAGTAACTGACACTTGCTCCAATTTATACGCAAACCGTTTTCTTCTGCCACTTTCAAAACTCGCCCTAACTTCTGCACGCCCTGTTCTACATTCTTGCTAGCAATGATCACATCATCCATGTACACTACTGCATCGTCGTTTTTTATCAAATCCCTTAGGACAGCCATTATAAATCTGGTAAACACTGCTGGAGAATTTGTGATACCGAAAGGTACAAACATGAACTCGTACTGCCCACTCATGGTAACAAACGAAGTGTACTTCTGAGATTCTGGTGACACAGGAACATGAAAGAATCCATTGGTCAAATCCAGGGTTGTGAAAATCTCTCCACCTTGCAGTTTTTCAATAACGCAATCCATATGTTCTGTTGGAAAGTTGTCTCTGACTATCTTCTCGTTCAATTTGCGGTAATCGCAGCACAGACGCTTCTTACCATTCTTCTTGTCAACTAAAACAACTCGCGAAGCAAACTCTGACGTACTTGGTTTAATTATACCTTCCTTAAGCCATTCTTCGACCTGAGCATCGACTACCTATTGATCGCAATAGGCCAAACGCCTTGGATTTTGATATACCTGCAATTCATCTGTCAACAAAATCTTCATTTCAACTGGCGAACTTTTATTCCTTTTCGGATTATAATTCTTCACTAACAACTCTACTTCTGCAGCGACACCTTCAGTTAAATGATCCAATTCCAACCCTAACTCTCGATCTTCTGTGCTTAACATGCAAAGGCTACCAAATTCATTCATTAATTGTATGCAGGAACTCTCAGTTATCTGCGCCTGGTCTTGTTGGATGCACTGCACCCTTTTCGAAAACACAGTTCCTTTCTTCGTGACCATCATGTCGACATTCTCCAAGATTGTTGTCCCTAAAATAGCATCGAACTTCATATCTTCATCTGGAATTACGTGGAATTCCATCCACATTTCAATGCCGTCGATACTGACTGGCGCTTTGAAGCTGCCGAAAGTCAGCACTTGACTTTCTCCAATTCCTGTCAAAACTCTTTGCCTGCCCATCAAACTGCCTACGCCTACGCCAAGTTTTAAAAATTCACGCCTACGCATTAAGCAAAGCTCCGCTCCTGTATCGATAAGTCCTTTGAATTCAACATTCAAGCAAAAAACCGATTTCAGCTCAAGACCGCAAGCAACTGGTTCACGAGCTTGCTTTGGGACTACTTTCTCTGCCTGAACCACATTTGTTCTCTCCTCAGTTTTGACTTGAGCCTCTGCTCTGCATTGCGCTGCTCGGTGTCCTGGCCGATTACATTTGAAATATTTCTCCTGCACTGGACAATCTCTTTTCATATGTGACGGATCTCCACACCTGAAACATTTCCTCACAGAATCTGTTGTCTTTTCTTTATTGAATTCGGTCCCTGCCTTACCGCCCTGAGAAACGTACTTGTTGTCTGACTTATATGCGCTTCTTGCTTTTTGGTATGCTTCAATCTGCCACTTCAAGTCTTTTAAATTTCTAGCCTGGTACAACATAGATTTATTTGACCGTGCATCTGGAATTCCTTCTACGAAGTACTCAATCAGACTTTCATCCTCCAAACGTATAGGTTTAGCTATCTCCATTAAGGCATAGAGATACTCTTGCAAAGATTCTCCCTTATGCTGACGACGTTTTCCCAACCTGCGATGAATCTCTGCTGTAGATATCTGTACTCCAAACTCCTGCAGCAACGCTGACTTCAAACTTTCCCAGTCATTAATATCTCTCTGGCTACGCACAAACATTTTTGCGCTCCACTCAGCAACTGTTTTGCATAAACAAACTGCTGCAGTGAACTCCACTCTACAATCTTCAAGCTCTTCGATCCACAGATCTATATTGGGAACACCTACGCCTGAAAACTGAGAAACACTCCCTTCGACGTCTTTTAAAGTAAACCATGATCTAGACTGTCCCTGCGCTTCTTGGTCATGTTGTCTAACTGCCCTGTTGCGGTTATTAGTCGGTGTGGAGGATGTTGACCTAAACTCAGCGGCCTCACCCTCATTCTCTGACTCACCCTCATCTATCAAACCATAATGAGTTAGCAATCGTTGTTGTAGTTCAGCTTTCAATCCGGTTGTATTCAACTGCAGCTCTGACAACTTCCGTCTCAATTCTTCCACTCGCAATGCCAAGATCTCGCTTCTCTCCATTTTACCGATGTATCCTGCAGAAAATTACAATTAATTTGATGACAAAGTGTTTTAACTCTAATTTCTTTTGCTCAAATTGTAAACAATAGCTCTGTCTTTGCACTAATGCATCCGACTGTACAAAAAACCTCTGGCAACCCTGTTTCGGGCTGCGTCTCTTGCTGTCTCTCTTCTTTTCGTGTTCACCGCTCTCTTCTTCGTCTTCTGCGCACAGCAACCAGCGACTCTGCTATGCCTCCAATTGGAATCTGCTTTGCCTGCTTGCAAAACCACGTGCCTTAGCTCTGGCCAACAAGGTTATGCTTGCACGCACTGACGATGCTCTG